CGTCGCCAGCAAGAACACCACCACTGCACAGGTAAATTGGGGTTTTTGTTTGAATACCCTAAATTGGGTTTTTTTCTTGAATACCCTAAATGGGGGTCTTCTGTTTGTTTTTCTCACGATGAGGAGTCTTCTGTTTTTTTTTTTTTATTTAATTTTATTTAGGGCTCTTTTATGTTGGGAATGAAATTAGGTTTTCTATGAGTAATTAAGTGCCCGACTGTTGTTTTGAAATCATATTTCTATAATAGACTGTAATTTATTGATTATTTGAATTATATGTATGTAGATTTCGTTTCATTGAATGGTGTGACACATTGAAGAGAGACATTTTCTCTTCGAGAACCATGAGCAAGGCAAGGATGCAAGTTTTTCTATGTAAGGTCTCTACGTCTCTCGCTTTTGTTGGTATACTTTAAATTGGTTTTGTTCTTTAAATTGAATTTCGTATTTATATAATTTTATTTCTTAAATTTCTTTAGGTTTCGTAAATGTTCATTATTCTAAGCGCATTTGCATATGTTGTTGTCCTTCATCGTCCATTTTTTTTGTCTCCGTCTTTTACTAGTGTTTTGCCTCAATCTTCTAATAGTTTTTCAGACTAATGTAAAAATTACCGGCTCTGTTTGTTTTGCAGTAACTTAATTTTACTGATACCTTTTAGCATATATATATGCAGAAGAGTACCTCTATCAATCCACTTAGGTATGTAATTCTATATATTGTTTTTTGTCTTTTGTAATGGAGGAAATGGCTGGTTATGTCAAGTTAGATTCCCTGAACAACTTTTGCTACTTTATGATGACTCACAAAAGAGAAGATACTTTGTTTTTCAGGAATATCCTAGGATTTGAGGACTTGGGCAAACATAAACTAGCAAACTAACAAGTCTTGGTAATAATTTGTTTCATTCATGGTAGAGAGGTTGGCATCAAATGTGTTGATCCGGCTTGCTTTGACTATTGTTATGTGCTCATTTTAGTAGCTTTTCTTTTCCTATAATCCACAGTTTCATACTTTAATCAGTCTTGAGTATTGGGCTTTCGAGATTCTTGTTTTATTACAGGGATTGAAGCCGAACTAAAAAATTACTACTTCAGTTATAGCAATGTGGTAAGTGTTATAGTACATAAACTTTTACTCTTCAATCAAACATAAGTCTATTCATATGTGTATATAGCTTTTAATCATTTATTTCAGAAATTCTATATTCAGGGTGAATACAAAAACCTTCTCGTACACGATTGCATATGGTTTAAGTTCAGCAGCTAAGTGACGACACAAGATAAGAACATTCTCTCTCTCCCTTTATTTGTTTGTGAATTCCTCTTATTATTTTTCATTTTCTCTTGTAGTACAACATTGTTGAAGGAGTTAGCAAAATATCCTAAGCTTTTTATTCAGGAAAGAGAGGTTGGCATCAATGCCATGCGAGCTCTGTTATATTTTTCTTCATCGAATAAAATGTACATTGATTTACTTGTTTTTTGATTTTTTTTTTCGGTTGTGAAAGGTTGATAGTAATGTAGATGAGTTTATTACTCTTGAGAATTCTCAAGATGAAAGATTTTTTGTCATGGATAATAATTATTTAAATGAAATGATATTTTTTTCTATTTTTATGGATGGTTATTATTGAATTATTGTATTTCTAACAAATTAGCGGAAAATATTGATTTTTTTTTTTTTGTGAAATTAAGTAAAAACTACAACATGCATATAAATGATGTTAAAACTCTATTGCAAGACGCCCTGGTGTGCGGTCGTAAAACAAGCGACAACATGCATATGAATGTTGTGAATTCTATAGCGCAACATACATTGCATATTGCTGTAAAATAAACGACAACGCTCCGTACAACGTACATTGCACGTTGTTATTACGCAATGACTTTTAACAACATGTTGGTCCACAACGTGCGCGAGTACTTTGTTGAAATAGTTTGACAACGTGCAACGCGTCTTGTTAAAATCCTTTTTTCTTGTAGTGTAAGCATTGTCCCAAAATATTGTGACACTACGCTGGTCTCTGAACCTCATAGGTAATAATAGATCAGAAATAAAAATAATTTTCAGATAAAGATAATGAGATACCTTGATCAGTTCGAATTTGAGACCGGATCAGGCTATACAACTTCAGAAATAAACGTGTTATTGCTTGCAATAACACGTTTCTCGAGGACTGACTATGCGTACGCAAGTGTAGCACCAACAGACCATCCAATTGATCAATATTACATATGAAACTCATATCTGCAACACCAACATATTACTTTGAGTATGCTGATGAAGATTTACTAACAAACAAAAAATAATACAGTCGGCATGTGCGGAGAAAGGAAATAAAAAACGTGGGAAGTGGAGATCGTTTTCTACAGGTTTTGATATATCGTGGCATGTGCGGTTTGAAAAAAGATATGGGAAAAAAAAACTGTCGAGAAAATCTGAGAGAAGGAAGAGATGGAGAATTAAATTAAAACAAAAAAAAAACGGCAACAAATAACGTAGAATGAGGAAATGGATTTACGTAGCAAGCGGAATTATAATTGCAAAAAATAGAAAGAAATAAAAAAACTGCCAAATGAAAAATGACTAAAATGTCCCTAGATTTAGGTCTAGGTTTATAGGTCAAAATATCTTCCTTTTATATATAAGATATTCCCCGCTAGGGTTTACCTCGAGGGGTTTTACAATTTTTTTCAAATGATTCTCTTATGCTCGTAATGTCAGCACATAATTTCCGTGTGGTTTAGGGAGGTAGCTTCCATTTTAGTTTTTCCGTCAAATTTAACCGCATGTGTCAAACTTCAAAGTACTTTTTTTTTTTTTTTTTTTTTTTTTTCAGATGACCCCCTTATGCTTACATTTTTCCTTTTATTTTTGTAGATGATCCCTTGAAGTTTGACACAAACACTTAAGTTTGACGGAAAAACTAACGTAAGAAAATTAATGAGAAAAATGATTGTTCCAACAATGGTGAATCTAAGATGTTGCTATATGGTAGACTTCAATTTTTGCGGGTTCGGATTTTTTTTTTATAAAACCAGAAGATAGGTAAAAGAAAAGTTAGTACTTTTTTTTTTCTTGCATTTATTTGAATTTTAGATGCACTAAGTAATAAAAATTTGGTGGACTAAATGTATAAAGGCTTTTACAATTGAGGATAGCTTGAGTCTATCACTTCCCAATGATGGATTTGCCCGTAGTTCCAGGTCACAATTCGTAACTTCTTTATCTGCTTGTTAGATCCATTTATAGGAGGACAATGCAAAGGCAAAAAAACTATATATACATACAAAGTAGTACAAAAAATTAAAAATTGAGGGGGTCCATGCCCCCAACTGAAAATAGGGGTTATGTGCAAGGAATCATCTGCAAAAGCTCGTGACCACAACGCAAAAGCTCGTGACCACAGGGGAATTAAGTGTAGTAAAGGGCATCATTGATCTCTCTTTTTCTCTAGAATATATATATGACTAGTTGCATTATATTAGAATACAAAGTTCTGAATTAAATGTCATGCGCACTGCACTACTTTCTGCATATGAAGAAATGAAAATGGATTCTTTTTCATTTTAAATAATGAAAAGTGAATCTGAACTCAGTACTTTGCGAGCGACCTCAAATCATTTATCACGTGTGTTGGCTCCATATGGGACTTTGCAATAACTGCATAACAATAAAAATAAAAAATCCACCCTTATAGTGTCAAATTCAACATAATCATCTAGATTTCGTGGAATGTGTCCTAGTTTGTACTCGTTTTGTGTAAAAATACAGTTTCTGATGCACCACAATCTGATATATACAAGCCAAAAAACACATATTATGATCATCTTGCTTCAAAATGTAGAGTTCGAATGGGACAAAATGGGTACAAAAGTGATAATATTTCATATAATCTCGAAGATTCCACTAAATTTGAGGAGTTGAGGGGGTAGCTGTAATTATCCAAACAAGATGGGGGTTTTCGTAAATTTACCATACCTCAGGGGGCGGTTGTAATTTACCCTATTATTTATTATTACCAACTAGGGACTATCACCTAATTTTACCTTAAATTTGAACAAAATTGTGCGGTATACTATAGTATAGTATACTTCGCGTTACTTGTATTTGAGATTTGGCGTTACATGTATTTCAGTAAAATTAGTTAAAATGTAGAAAGGTAGCTGAATTATAGTAATTTGTTTTTCTTTTTTATTACAAGAAAAAATGCACTTCACTCCACTCCCTAGAATTTATAGCTTTTGCACTTTTCTCCCTACAAATTCAAAAATGAAATTCTCCTCCTTCCAAATTTTGTTATAGTTGCACTTTGCCCCAAATAGGACTTTCCGCCATATTTTTCACGGGTTCTTTCATATCCGAGAAAATAAATTTGAAAGGTGGAGAGTCTCATTTTTAAATTTGTAAGGGGGCAAGTGCGAAAAAAAAAAAATTCTAGGGAGTGCATTTTGTCCAAAAATCTAACCTGATTTTTCAATGTTTAATTTCAAAAATTATTATAGTTTTGTTTTCGCATAACCTTTAAATCCATCTAGCTCTCTGCATAAAACCCCCATGTGTTATGGAAAACATGCAAACCCCCTATGTTATTTTTATTGCGTAGAATCCCCTGTATTTTATTTTATATTGCATGGAATTCCTTTTTTCTGTTAACTATTAACACCGTTAACTATTGTGGGGATTTAATGTAAGTTTTGCATAAGACAATGAAGTTTGGTGCACTTTTATTTACAATAGAAGTGGAAATTATACAAAATTATTTATTTATTTAAAAATTGAATTACTTTTATAAATATTTTTATCAAACTAAATTCAAATTTTCATCTTATTTGTAATATTCAACATCCAACCTAAATTATATAAATATATAACAATTTTTATATTATAATTGAATTAAGTTTTTGACATAACTTCGAGTTTTGAAAGGATGAATTTACATTATATGTCTAATTGGGCCAACCCAATAGACCCACAATTCGAAAACGGCCCGTTTTTTATCTCTTCACAAGTTTCTGAAAATCCGAAGGGGAGCACTGCATTGGCCGAGTACGAATATGGTAATGGGGGTTCACTCTTGGCCTAATGTCGATAACGTTGAGCAAGGTGCAAACCCTATTTTTATCATCGGAATAGGCTTTGCACCGCCAGATTAGGGCGGCTACCACCGCAAGGGTGCTAATTCTTTCAATTTTGGAGGTCTTAGTAATATCGTCCTTTAAGTGGGATATATGAGTTGTGTTGAGTTTGAAGATTTTGAAATCGAGTTCTTCTATGATGCAGTCGAACTTTGGGGGAGTTGACCCCGGGCCCACGGGGAGGTCGAATTTGAGGAACTCTGAGTGAGGAAAGGAAACATGCGGTGGAGATCTAGTGGCGAGAATCCGACGGTCGTTATAGGGTACGGTGGCTAAGGGTTTGTTTTCGATAGATTGGGAAGCTAGGTTTAGGAGGAATACCTTGGCGCCTAGGTCGTCGAATAAGATGTGATTCGTAGACATGCCGATTGCAAAACCACCACACTTGAATGATGTTACCTGCAAATAGTGCTTGAACTATAAGAATCAAGTAATATAGGGAAAATTAAAGTATTCATCCACACTAATATATTATACAACAAGTGTATGAAGTAGGAGCACTCACACACACACACACACACACACACACACGCAATTTTTCATAGTCATCGAAAACGCATGAAAATTCTATAGAGTAAATTGCAAACACAACTCATGTGTAATCGTCAATTGCTAAAAAAAGGCCCGAAAATAAAGTTTTCAACATTTTCAATTCAGTCCCGCCTATTTTCAAAAAGGCCCGCTTCTTCCTTCTGTCAGGGACTAATTTGAATTGTTTTAAGAAATACGTTGAACATAGCTGAGTTGCCACTCTCCTTCTGGCAAACATCCTCTCCGGCCTCACGTCCCTCCATACCCTCAGCCTTCGCTTCAAGCCTTCAACCGTGCATACCCCCTTCCGTCCCACTAATCCAACATTTTCTTCGCCCATATTTTGGAGAATTTTCATCACACCAAATCGAGAGCAGGTACGTTGAACGCGGGTGTTGTGGTGGTGTGGATGATGATTGGATTTGGAGGTTTGGTGGTCGAGGAGATGCAGGGACTGAAAGGTGGTGGATATATGCAAGCACATTTTTTTATTAATTCAAGACCTCCAACATAAAAATACTAATTTACCCCTTAATGAAATTAAAAACCAAATAAAAAACACAAAATAAAAAAAAATAAAAATCGGCATTACAACGCTGATATTTACTTGTAAAGTCGTTGTGTCGCCGATTTGGTTAACAAAAATCAGCATTATGACGCCGATTTTCGTGTATAAAATCGGTATGGGTAAACCGATTTGGGAAACCAACGAAAACACACAAAAAAAACCAATTTCAATCTCAATTGTTTTTCCAGAATCGGCTAAAGCATTGCAACCCAACAAGAAATAAAAATAGATTAATATTCATCCTCGCATATTTATGAAGAATCGATGCTCGATTAATGTTTTAAAATTTACAAACAAAAGTTTAGTAAAAAGGACTTACTTGTTGGTGGTGGTGCGGTGGGTGGGTCGATGGTCGCCGCCGGCGCGGTGGAAGCCTCGGTGGTCGGCGTTGCGGTAGCAGTCGTGAGTTTTTTATTTCTTTTTGTTTTTTCTTTTGTTTTTTGATTTTTTGGTCTTGTTTATATTTGGGTATTATTTGTGGATAAAGGTATATTCGTCCTCTTTGGTTTTGATGTAATAAGATTAGATTAATTTATGGACTTCAACTAATAAACCCCTTTATGTGGGTTTGAACTAATAAAAAAATGGGCTTGCATATATCCGCCGTCGGACTAAAATGTTTTTTTTCCTTATCTTTCCTTTAATTTTTTATTTTTTTTTATTTTTTCATTTTTTTATTTAAAATTGTAATATTGTTTAATATTTATTAGGATAGTTTTGTTATTTCACATAAGTAAGCAAATAATTTTAAGGGTTAATAGCATTTCGCCACTTGGACTTTGTCCGTTTTTGCACTTTCCCACCTTAACTAAAAAAAGTTGCAAGCGCCCACCCAAACTCAGTTTTTTGACGCACATAACCACCTAAGGAGAATATTCCGGCGAATATTCTCATTTTTCAACGCATGCGCGATGCACATACGAAAGTACAAGGGTTTTTTCGTCTTTTCACCTGAAAATATCATAAGGGAGTGAAATTGAAAGTACCAGGGACTCAATTGAACTTAATTTGAAACTTTCACAAATTTGAAATTAATTGAAGCTTTGTGGCTTCATTTTCCATGGGATAAAAACACCCACCGCTGCGCTGCACGCCTGCTTCAAAATGGAGAAAAAAATCTCCAATAAAGAGATGAAGAAGAACAACGACATCAATCTGCTGAAATTCGCCATGGATGAGAGAGACGAAGAACCCAACTCCGGAAGTGATTGAATCGGATTTCGGATTCTCGCCGGATAGCCTGTGGTACCGCATGTACCACTGTTCTTCCTCGTCGCCGAGGTACCTTTTCACGACCGGCGAACCGATTTCCCACGAATTGTTGGGGGCCCAAATCGAAGACTAAAACCCTAGACGCCGAGGTACCTTTTCACGATCGGCGAACCGATTTCGACAATTTCCCATGAATTGTTGGGGGCCCAAATCGAAGACTAAAACCCTAGAGAGAGACGAATTTGAAGGAATTGGTGGAATTGAAGTGGGCGTGGGTGTGGATACTTGAATTGGGAATGCTCCAGTAGTTCTCATATGTTGTCTCTATGTTGGCGCTTTTGCTCATCAACAACAAGGCGTTTGAGAAATTCTCCAACGGTAGCCCCCCCCCACCCCCCCCCCCCCTCCGGGCCCGTCTGAATTCTCCAACGGCAGCGCCTCTTTTGTTCACCGGGCCCAGGCGGTGGGTGTTTTGATCCCATAGAAGATGAAGCTACAGAGCTTCAATTAACTTTGAATTTGTGAAAGTTTCAAATTATGTTTAATTGAGTCCCTGGTACTTTCAATTTCACCCCCTTATGATATTTTCAAGTAAAAAGACGAAAAATCCCTTGTACTTTCGCATGTGCATCACGCGTGCCTGGAAAATTAGAAGATTCGCCGGAATATTCCCCTTAGGTGGTTATGTGCGTCAAAAAACTGAGTTTGGGTGGGCGCTTGCAACTTTTTTTAGTTAAGGTGGCAAAGTGCAAAAACGGGCAAAGTCCAGGTGGCGAAATGCTATTAACCCTAATTTTAATATAAGAAGCGTGTTTCATAAAACACAATATGGGGGGTTTTATTGCTAATAATTTTAACTTAGAAACATGTTTTGCAATTAGAGATTACATAGGGGTGGTCGGTCTAAATGCTCAATTAAACACACAACAATAAAATCACAAAGAACAATATTGTGCGCGCGCGCGCACACACACATATATGTCCGATCCTTAGTGAACCAATATTGAAGCAAAAAAGTCATGGAAAACACCCTCAAATATGTCCATCTCTTGAGAAGGCAAAGCCACCATTGCACAAACACCATTATCAACGGCATCCCGAAAAACCCAACAAATATCTTTCCGATGATTCACCACCGGACAACTGTACATCGGCTTCCCCCATGCATACTCCACCTCATCAAACCCTAATCTAAGCCATGAGCTCACCATATAATCCCCATGAGGAATCCCTCTATTCAACTCCAACCAATCGAAAGCCGATTTCACGTACTCATGAGTCATCTCTTTAGCCCCTTCGGTGATAATCTCCACAAGCTTCGAAAACGGCCCGTTTTTTATCTCGTCACAAGTTTCCAAAACTCCCAAGGGAAGCACTGCGTTGGCCGAGTACGAATATGGTAATGGGGGCTTCACTCTTGGCCTAATGTCGATAACGTTAAGCAGAGTGGAAACCCTATTTTTATCATCGGAAAAGGCTTTGCACCGCCAGATTAGGGCGGCCACCACCGCAAGGGTGCTAATTCTTTCAATTTTGGAGTTCTTAGTAATATCGTCCTTTAAGTGGGATATCTGAGTTGTGTTGAGTTTGAAGATTTTGAAATCGAGTTCTTCTATGATGCAGTCGAACTTTGGGGGAGTTGACCCCGGGCCCACGGGGAGGTCGAATTTGAGGAACTCTGGGTGAGGAAAGGAAACATGCGGTGGAGATCTAGCGGCGAGAATCCGACGGTCGTTATAGGGTAAGATGGCTAAGGGTTTGTTTTCGAAAGATTGGGAAGCTAGGTTTAGGAGGAATACCTTGGCGCCTAGGCCGTCGAATAAGATGTGATTCGTAGACATGCCGATTGCAAAACCACCACACTTGAATGATGTTACCTGCAAATAGTGCTTGAACTATAAGATTCAACTAATATATTATACAACAAGTGTATGAAGTAGGAGCACACACACACACACACACACACACACACACACACATATACACACACACACACACACACATACACACACACACACACACAAACACAGACACACACAATTTTTCATATTCATCGAAAACGCATGAAAATTCTATAGAGTAAATTGCTAACACAACTCATGTGTAATCGTCAATTGCTAAAAAAGTCCACGTGTTATAAAAATTAGCAAATTAAAATCCCCTTTGATTAAAATTCAAAGGTGAAAAAGTCCCTTAGAGCTGCTCGTGGTACTCACGCGCGGGTTGTGCGGTTCTTTTTATAAATTTTGGGATAAAATGACGTAAACACCATTTTATACATAAACGCATGTTAAATTTGATGTGATTATAAATAATTCAAATTCAAAAAACCAAATAGCAATTTTCAAAATCTTAAAACCCTGATCATCTTCTTTCTCCCTCACCCTCTCAACACCGCCCCATTTGAAAAGGCCGTCTGAGACGCGCCGGAAGGCAAAGGAACTTCGCGTCCAGGTGGCAAAATGCTATTAACCCAAAATATTATATAAGGGAGTTTTTGCTAATTTTTTTTTTTTTTTTAATTCATGGATTTTTTTAGGAGTTGAGCATTACAAATGGATAGTTTTTGCAATTTACTCCAATTATACAGACGATTAGTGGTTGATATTTTTGGGTATATTACAATTCAGTCCCCTAAATTTAAGTTTTCAGAAGTTTAGTAAAATTGCAATTAGGCCTCTATTATATGATAACTCTAAGTTTATGTTATTAATTGAAGGGTATATTTGTCTTTTCATCTTTGGTCAATGAGTAAAATCACAATAGGTTGGTTCACTGAGCTAATAAAAATATTATATAAGGGGGTTTTTGCTATTTTTTTTTTTTTTTAATTCATGGACTTTTTTTAGCAGTTAAGCATTACACACATATAGTTTTTGCAATTTACTCAAATTATATACCTGAAAAACACAGAGTGGCTGGTCAACTTCAGGTGGTAAGTTATCCAATCTCTGGACAGCCAGCTGTCGATATCCGAGGTTCGGACAAACAAGGTTCTCACCACCAATCTCATCAAGAGAAACATCGGACTTAGCCACCACAAAGCCAGCCCCCGCCGCGTTGCAGTCTATCTCCAGCCGGCCCAATTCCCGGTTTAGTTTCAGTCTTCCCGCCATAAAATCGTACGGAACCAAAACCTTCTCCAGCGCAGTTCTGAGCCTCTCGGCCACTGTTTCTGGCGGGAAATCTGGGTTTGCCTTGAAGAAATGAGCTGTCGGGATATTGTAGTTAAGGATTTGATCGATGTTGGACAAGAAAATCAATTTTTTCGGTGTTTCTTTGTATGGGAAGATAAGAGAGCTTTCTTGGAACTTGATATTTAGGTCTTCCATGGAAGGAACTGGGGATAAGGCTGCCATTTTGTGATTTTTTCACTTCAAATATTTTCTTTTCTTTTCTTGATCGTTGCTGTATCTAAATTGTAGAACATGATGTATTAATAACCGAAATTTCATGGGATTTTAATTTCATTTTTCTTATTCATGCAACTGGTCACCCGCCACTCCAAGAAAAAAAAAATCATCTTTTTTAATTACTTTTTGACATAATATTTAGTGCAAATTCCACTTTCCCTTCTTGTACTTTTGGCTCGGTATCACTTTACCCCTTCTACTCTTGATTGCATCGATTTGCCTCCGTGCATTTGAAAAATTGTCTCAGTGTGGTCATCGTTGTTAGTTGTCTGGTATTTAACCTTAACACCGTTTGATCTTTGTTCTGAAATTACAAAAACGCCACCCCTCACAGTTTAAATAATTATTACAAAAACAAAAAAAATTACAAAACAAAAGAAAAATAATAAAAAAAATTCAAGACAACGAGATAACGTAGTCAACGACGACAACCACAATTTACTTTTCTTTTTTTATGTTTTTCTAATAATTAGTCAAACTGGGAGGGGTGGTTGTTTTGTAATTTTCTGACTTAAATCAAACGATGTTAAAGTCAAAAGTCTAAAAATTAACGGCGAGGGCCACATTGAGACAAAATTTCAAGTACAGGGGGCAAATCGCTGCAATCGAGAATATAAGCAGGTAAAGTGATATCGAGCCAAAATACAGTTGAGGAAAGTGGAATTTACCCTAATATTTATTAATGTGTGTTTTTGCCCCCGAACCCCCGAAAAATTGAACCTACCTCTATATATATGTCCGCCCGAACACATTTTGGTCTGGATCCGCCCCTGCAAGTGGTGTTTTACATTAGAAAATAATAAGACTACGGATATCCACGTCAATATAATCTTCCCACAAATAATAAACAAATTACACTACGCTCATAAAAAATATGAATGAAATTACAGTTTATACGATGCTACGTCGGACGAAATACTCCGAACAGATCTTTACCATTTATATACACACAAACACACACATCCACATTAGATCAACCGTAAAAACTCACTTGATATTACCTTCACCGGGTATAAAACACTCCTATCACCGACTTATGACACATTTCGTCCCTCCGTCTGTTTGACCTTCAAGAACTAACAATCAACGGATGACTTAGGGCTGAAATTGAGTTTTTTTCTTTCTAAGTTGGCCTTTACCAATTAATCACTCCTATCACCGACTTATGACACATTTCGTCCCTCCGTCTGTTTGTCCAATTTGCAAACTTTTGGGATTACTTTTTTTTTTATATTGTAGCTGAAATAAAATTCAATCTTAGATATATAATACATAAATTAAAGATTCGGTTTGATTTAATAATTTGGGAAAATAGCATTTAACCCCCTATGGTAACAAGTTTTTGCAGATGACTCTCTTGTGCTCGTAATATCACCACATAACCCCCCCCCCCCCCCTTGGGGTTTATCGGGTCGGGATAGTTTCCGTTAGTTTTTCCGCCAAATTTCAAGGGGGTCATCTGAAAAAAATGAAAGGGTGACGTTTGACACAGGCGGTTAAGTTTAACGAAAAAACTACCGAAAGCTACCCCCATCAACCACAAGGGGGTTTATGTGCTGATATTACAAGGACGAGGGGGTCATATGCAAAAGCCCTCTAACCACAAGGGGATTAAGTGCTATATACCCTAATGATTTTAATTTAGTTAGACTAATATAGATATAATCACATATGCATTCAAAAAATGTAAGTATTTATTATTTTCTTTATGTATTTTAATAATATTAATTGCTACTCTAAGTTCATGTTCTTGCAAATGTATATATTTTTCTAGTTGCACAAGACACCCCCGAAGTATTTAATTGGGTGATTTTTGCTAATTTTTATAACACAATTGTTTAAAATAATATAGGGGTACTTAATGTTTGTTACTTACGGTCAAACAATCGGAGGGGCCAAATGCGTCATAAGTTTTTAATATTAGAATGGTATTTGTTAACAATGTGACAAATAGAGCACTGAAAGTGAAAATAATGTCAGTACGAGGGACTAAAATGTAATTATCCCTAAAAAAAAGAGTAGAATATTAGATAAAAGTATATGAAAGGGCCTGAATTTAAAGCATAGAGTGAGACAGAGTGTATTGAGCTGGCCCTGATCACTACACAGTGCCACTTTATCTGTTTCTCGTACTGATGTACAATAATTCACTTCATTAATATTCATGTAAAACACATGCTTGTTTTAACACAATAATTTCAATCAGTGGTTTTCTTTTTTAAAGTGGAAACAATAAATTTTAGAGTGTGGCTGTGTGGGTCACTTTCTTGTTGAAGTGGAAACATTTTTTTATTTTTTTTTACCGAAAGAACCTACATATAACTATATAGCTGCACCGGGTAAATCTACACTATCGTGTATATATATATATATATATATATATATATATATATATATATATATATATATATATATTGCTTTAAGGGTGGCATGTGTATTTTCTTATTAAAGAAAAACAAAAGTATCTTTCAAGATTTTAGATAGGGAAAAAGTGGAATAAGTGCAAATTAAGTTTTTCACGTTTTCTGTGAGCTAACAATCCCGGCCGTGTTGAAAAGGTTCCTAGGTTTGATATTGGCTTCTAGTAAAAGTAAGAATTCCCACATGTTACATGCAAGCGTTAATTGATCGATACCGATTGATCGATAACTTTTGTTTTTTTTTTTTTATAATTGCACTAACATCACTAGAACTTTTAGTGTTTTTTCTCCCTCGCAAAAACTATTAATAGCTAAGAAACAAAAAAAAAAAAAACAAGCATCAATTTGCACATATTTTCCTGCTTTTCTTTTATTTTTTTTGGGCAAAAAAAATACGGCAAGCTACCTTATGAGGTAAGGTTAATTTACAAAAAAAAAACCTATATGTTTGGATAATTACAACCACCCCTCAACTATGAATCTTTATTCATATCCATCCTAATGGTGTTAAATCCGACACAGTCTTCTAGATTCCGTTCTGCCCGCCTGCTGGAGTGCGAATCAAAGTTCTTTTCCGGTCAACTATCCACTCAGTCAAATGCAAAAAACACAGTAGAATCACATTCATTTCAATATTCCCCCGCTTGAATGAATTCTTCCATCATCTTGTCCCTCGCAAAGGCGTCATCTTTCTTAAGTGAAAACGTCGAATGTTCTCTAATTTGTACTCGTTTTTGCAAAAATGCAGTTTCTGATGAACCACAATCTGATATTTACAAGCCAAGAGACACATTTTTATGATCATCTCGTTTCAAAATGTGGAGCTCGAATGGGGTAAAATGGGTACAAACTGGAGAATATTTCACATAATCTAGGAGATTCCACTAAATTTGACCCGCAAGGGTGGATGTGCTAGAAGATTCATAGTTGATGGGTGGTTGTAATTTCCCAAATAAGAGGGACTTTTTTCGTAATTTGACCTTACCTCAGGGATTGGAGGATGAGGGGCGGTTGTCGCGCCGCCATCACCTGCGACCACATGCATGGAGCATTTAGAATGTGCTGCCCGAAACGAAGGTGGTCGGCGCCGCTGGCATCACAACCCATATGGCGGTGGCCGGCATCATATTGGCATGCCTCATTAAGCTTCTCAGAGATTTACTGGTGGCCACTAGCGCGTTGTGGAATGAATGAAGCGCAGATTTCGACGGCGGGGCCAACAGAGTTGAGCCACTGCTTTTGAAATAGATGTTTAGGGAGGAGAAATTGACTGGAATTATGCCGGTACCAGTGGCAACTATAATATTGGGGCGGGATTGGTCAAAAAGACAAAAATGCCCTTCAAATTGACGGAGATATTAAAAACTCAGTGAAAAATACAGCGGAAAGTCCCATTTGAGGGTAAAGTGCAACTATAACAAAATTTGGAATGGGGAAAATCTCATTCTTGAATTTGTAGGGGGGAAAGTGCGAAAACTAGAAATTCCTAGGGGTGAAGTGCATTTTGTCCTAGATTTTTTTTTATTGTAATGCAATATAATACATGATTTCGGCATGTTCTTTTTACCTATGAGTGGAGCCAACTCACGTTTGCAGAGTACGGGTTCAGGTTTTAGTCCCTCACATTAGCAACAATTTCATATTTGATCCCTCATGTTCATTAAAAAACACATTTGGTCCCTCACATTTCAGAAAATCAAACACTTTAAGTCATTTCCGTCAATTTTCCGTTAAAACTAACGGCATCAAGCCAATTTCCATCAATGACTTAACTGACAGACTAGCGGTAAATTGAAAGAAATGACCAGAAATATTAAATTGTAGAAACATGAGGGACTAAATGTATTTTTCTGTAAAACATAGAGAACCAAATATGAAATCGGTGCAAACTTGAGGATTGAAAACTGTAATTTTCCCATTATTTTGGCAAAAACTATTATATATTTTTTTGCTTGACAACAACCATCAACTTGATTGATAGCTAAGAAAGAAAAAAACAAGCATCAATTTGCACATGTTTTCCTGCTTTCGTTTTCTTTTTTTTTTGGGCAAAACAATTATGGCCAACTACCTCAGGAGGTAAGAGCAACTCCAATGGAGTTATTAAATGGGGTATCAAAGCCCTAAACTACCGTTTTGATAATTGAAGTTAGAAATTTTCCACTCCAATGGAGTTATCAAATGAGTTTCTATTTTGATATTTTAATTTTTGGGATGTAAAGATACATCCGAAAGAAATAATACCAGTTGGAAGTTACATAACTTAATCACCTTAATAACCAATTAGAAAATGACTTGTGTAAATTAAAATATATAATCACATTATTTATTTTTAATTAGAACTATTTGATAACTATGGTTGGAGCAAATAAATTTAATTAGGTATCAAACTAAAATATCAAATATCAAATAAATATTTGATAACTCATTTTGATATTTGTGGTTTGGAGTTGCTCTAAGGTCAAATTATAAAAGAATCCTGCATGTTTGGATAATTACAATCACCCATCAACTATGAATCTTCATTCACATCCATCCTTATGGTGTATGTAATCACCCAAACAGAAGAGGGTTTTTCCATTTTCGTAGTTTGACCTTCCCTCAAGGATGACTGTAATTTGCCAAAAATAAATTATCTAATTTGAAGTAACTTGTTAATGCAAATAAGAATAGTTTTTGGATCCCTCATGTAACCACCTAATCATATGAAACTTCATATAATAGTAGCTCTCACACTACCAAAATATGAGCTTTTGTGACGGAGATTTTTGTCACTGAATTGAGGAAAATCCGTCACAAACAGGCTTTGGTGACGGAGGTGTGACGGAATTCGTCCATGAGAAAATGCCTCGCCACTGATTAAAATAGTGACGGTTTTTTTCAATCCGTCAACAAAAAATCACAAAGCATAAATATATTAAAACAAGATCATATCGTTTCCAGTCTTTCAGAACATCATTTGGCTAGTAGTATCTAGTGCTAAGAATCTGTTATGAATTACAGAACATAAATATCTTATTTATAGAAAACACAATATCTTCTTAGC